GGCTCTCCTTGAACCCAAAAGGGGTTTATTTCTTCTTCTTCACATTCAACAATAGCCATGATCTTCTTGTTTGGACAATCACTAGCATAGTGACCAATGCCTTGGCAACGAAAACACTTTTGGACTCGGCTACTTGATGAACTAGGTTTTGAAGGAGAAGGAGCACTTGGCGATGAAATAGGGTGCATGGTTTTGGGATTTTTAGGGCAGAGGGCCGTGGGGTTTTGGGCAGCAATGGGGGTGTAATTTGGTTGGCCTTGATGTGGTGGAAGGGGACGGTTCAAGGGGGACTTGCCTTTCTTGAGTTGAGCTTCCACTTTTAGGGCTAGCTTTGTTAAATCTTCAAGGCTTTCAAAATTTTGCAGCTCCACGGTGTTGGCTATTTGGGTGTTTAAACCAAATAAATATCTCACAAAGGTTTGTGAATCATTCTCTTGAAGATCACATCGCATCAAGAGTTCTTCAAACTCTCGGTTGTACTCTTCTACGGACTGATTTCCTTGTCGTAGGTTTTGAAGCCTAGCAAAGTTGTCCCTTATAAAATGAGTAGGAATGAACTTCTTCTTCAATAAAGCTCTCATCTTGGTCCATGTTTTAACAGCAGCCTTGCATTCTCTTTTGCGCTTGGTGGTAGTGTTAGTCCACCAAGTAGATGCGTAGCCTCTGAGTTTTAAGGCCACAAGCTTGACCTTCTTATCCTCCGATACCTCGGTATAGTCAAAGACACGTTCAATCGTCTCTAACCACTCTATCAAATCATCGGGGTCATCTTTGCCATCAAAAGTTGGGATTTCAACTTTGAAATCAGTAGATGACTTCTCTTGGTTGTTTCTCCTTGTGGGACGAGGATGAGTTTCTGACTGGGCTTCTTCCTCTTGCTCATCTTCACTTTCTTCAGGGGTATTCATCATTTTCATTTTGAATTTGGTGAGTTGAGCAATCTGCTTAGCCAAGTACTCCACTTGGGTCTTGAGTTCTGTATTCGAGGCCCACAGCTCTTCATTGGTGATGATTACAGAGGGGTTTGACATCTTGAAGGGTGTGAAAGAAGAGGAAGAGAATGGGGCAGTAGCTAGAATGGTAAGAAATGATGGGTGGTTTTTAGGGCTCTCTTTGGCCGAAAATACCAAAGAAGGAAGAGAAAAGAGAGATGGTGTTGAGGCTGATCTTTATGGTAGTAACAAAGAGATAAGGGGGATGGTTTTTTGAAGGGGTGTTTTTGGAGTGGTCTTGGTCGAAATAACCAAGGTGAAGGGAAAGGTTTTTGGAAGTGTAATTGGCCCTTAGGGATGTTGAAACACAATGCTTTGATACCAAATGTTAGATCTACGCTCCGGGTTTGTCGGTATTAAGCTCGGATTTAAGAAACAAGCTCCTCTTGCTGGATGGGTTAATAGTCGACTATCAGTATGGTGATAATCGATTATATAGGACTGCAGGAATTTCCCTTGATGTATGATAATCGATTGTCCAAGTAGGATAATCGATTGTCGAGTGATTCAGTTTCTCAGGAGGAGCTTCAGAAGTTTAGGAGAAATAAACAATCGATTTACAAGAAGTGATAATCGATTATGGAAGGCTGCAGATTTTCTCAGAATGAGTGATAGTCGATTATCTTAAAGGGATAATCGATTATTACTACCTGCAGATGTTTCCAATGGAACTGATAATCGATTGTGGGGAGTGATAATCGATTATTTGGCAGTTATTCTAGATAGGAAGAAAGGCGTTTTTGCGGGGAATGGGTTGGGAATATATGGGGCTGATGAGGGAGTTCTTTTGGGTATTTTTAATGGAAGATAAGAGTAAGATTAAGAGAAGAAATGGGGAGGTATGAAATGGAAGAAAATCAGGGATGGATAAACCAAGTTGGTGTTTAAGAGATATTACACACTCTTATCCTAACTCGGAGTTTGAATCTAGAATTTAATTAAGATATGACACACTTAATCAAATATCTAGAACCTAAAACTCACACTTAAGATAACCACTCTTAAGATATAGAATTAGGAATTTGGCTAAAATAGCATCACACTATTTTAATAATACTCAAAGAGTAAAAGATTTTCAATATTCAAAGGTTTTGGTTTACACACTCTTATTTTCTGCCATAGGCTAAAAATAAGTGTAGGAAAACATTATTTTGAAAGGAATTAAATGACAAGGAACTTTGGATGTTTAGGGAAGGAATTGGGGGTGTTGGTTCGACCTGAGTGGGGTGTAGGACAGCCCTGGTGTTGGTTTGGGCTTTAGGGAAGGGCGAAGGAGTGGATTCAACCCTAATAACGTCACCACACTTTGGATTTATTCCCCTGATCCGTCTTTCCTTTTGTGGGCTAAGGAAAGTCTCTGTTGATGCTCCCGGATATCTAACATCCTCCCCTTCTTCTAAAGAGTTTGCCCTCAAACTCGAGTTTTCTTTAGGCTCTTGGTAGGGGACGGACTTGAACTTGCGTGCATCAAAAACTTCGATCATGCTTTCTCTCAGTTCTCGGGGAATGAAAATCTACAAATGCCTCTTTGGGCACTTAGAATAAATGTCCTCACTTCCTTGTACTCCTTCATGACTTCCCTGCAAATTAAATACACAAACATTGGCACCAAAGGCCGTCAGTGATAACAAGGTTCCGGGATGGACATTTTGGGAGAAGTGGCTGTGCGTGGCTTTTTTGAGAGGACACAAGGGTATATCCGGCTCAAACAATGGTTCAAAAATCAATTTTTTGAACCTTGAAGGGTTTTGTTGGGGAAAAATGGAGAGTATGGAAGAGGGTTTCTTTTGGGGCAGTAAGGTTTTTGGGATTGATGGATAAAGAGTAAACTTCTTAGCACCCACCATAAATGAGTACGTATTAGCAAACCCGTCATACATAACTCTCCGGTCAAATAACCATGGTCGCCCGAGAAGAATATTACAAGCTCTCATGGGTATTACGTCACACCACACGTCATCTTGAAAGGACTGCCCCTTTTAAAAGAGACCAAGCTACGTGTATTCACGTGTATTCCCTCATCTAGATTCAACCACTGAATCTCATAAGGCTCCGGATGTGGTAACGTCTCTAATTTGAGCTTTTCCACCGCTGTTTTGGAAAAAACATTGGCACTACTTCCGCTATCGATGATCATTGAGCACACCTTCTTTTGAACGGTGCAACGGGTATGAAAAATACTCTCTCGGTGTCCGGACTCATCCCGGGCAGTCGCATGACTAATTGTCTTTTGAATGACCAAAAGTTCACCTTCGTCGGGGCCAACAATTTCCTCTTCTTCTTTTGGCTCTCCTTGAACCCAAAAGGGGTTTGTTTCTTCTTCTTCACATTCAACAATAGCCATGATCTTCTTGTTTGGACAATCACTAGCATAGTGACCAATGCCTTGGCAACGAAAACACTTTTGGACTCGGCTACTTGATGAACTAGGTTTTGAAGGAGAAGGAGCACTTGGCGATGAAATAGGGTGCATGGTTTTGGGATTTTTAGGGGAGATGGCCGTGGGGTTTTGGGCAGCAATGGGGGTGTAATTTGGTTGGCCTTGATGTGGTGGAAGGGGACGGTTCAAGGGGGACTTGCCTTTCTTGAGTTGAGCTTCCACTTTTAGGGCTAGCTTTGTTAAATCTTCAAGGCTTTCAAAATTTTGCAGCTCCACGGTGTTGGCTATTTGGGTGTTTAAACCAAATAAATATCTCACAAAGGTTTGTGAGTCATTCTCTTGAAGATCACATCGCATCAAGAGTTCTTCAAACTCTCGGTTGTACTCTTCTACGGACTGATTTCCTTGTCGTAGGTTTTGAAGCCTAGCAAAGTTGTCCCTTATATAATGAGTAGGAATGAACTTCTTCTTCAATAAAGCTCTCATCTTGGTCCATGTTTTAACAGCAGCCTTGCATTCTCTTTTGCGCTTGGTGGTAGTGTTAGTCCACCAAGTAGATGCGTAGCCTCTGAGTTTTAAGGCCACAAGCTTGACCTTCTTATCCTCCGATACCTTGGTATAGTCAAAGACACGTTCAATCGTCTCTAACCACTCTATGAAATCATCGGGGTCATCTTTGCCATAAAAGTTGGGATTTCAACTTTGAAATCAGTAGATGACTTCTCTTGGTTGTTTCTCCTTGTGGGACGAGGAAGAGTTTCTGATTGGGCTTCTTCCTCTTGCTCCTCTTCACTTTCTTCGGGGGTATTCATCATATTCATTTTGAATTTGGTGAGTTGAGCAATCTGCTTAGCCAAGTACTCCACTTGGGTCTTGAGTTCTGTATTCGAGGCCCACAGCTCTTCATTGGTGATGATTACAGAGGGGTTTGACATCTTGAAGGGTGTGAAAGAAGAGGAAGAGAATGGGGCAGTAGCTAGAATGGTAAGAAATGATGGGTGGTTTTTAGGGCTCTCTTTGGCCGAAAATACCAAAGAAGGAAGAGAAAAGAGAGATGGTGTTGAGGCTGATTTTTATGGTAGTAACAAAGAGATAAGGGGGATGGTTTTTTGAAGGGGTGTTTTTGGAGTGGTCTTGGTCGAAATAACCAAGGTGAAGGGAAAGGTTTTTGGAAGTGTAATTGGCCCTTAGGGATGTTGAAACACAATGCTTTGATACCAAATGTTAGATCTACGCTCCAGGTTTGTCGGTATTAAGCTCGGATTTAAGAAACAAGCTCCTTTTGCTGGATGGGTTAATAGTCGATTATCAGTATGGTGATAATCGATTATATAGGACTGCAGGAATTTCCCTTGATGTATGATAATCAATTGTCCAAGTAGGATAATCGATTGTCGAGTGATTCAGTTTCTCAGGAGGAGCTTCAGAAGTTTAGGAGAAATAAACAATCGATTTACAAGAAGTGATAATCGATTATGGAAGGCTACAGATTTTCTCGGAATGAGTGAT